AACCAGATGGTCCCATTGAGATCATCAATCTCTTTTTCAAGGGAGACCTGTCCAACATGGCAGCAAGTAGGTTAAAACATGAACATAAAACAAAAGATAACACAAAAGGACATCGTATTTACAGGGCTACATGTACATACCTAGAGACATTGGCAAGTACCGACAGTATATTTATATCTCGCCCTGTCAATAAGCCTCACCTTCTTGGCAAAAACGGTATTGTTTTTGAAGTGGTGGAGAGACAATGCACAGTTTTACCCAATGCTGTCACCCATGGCCAAAGCATATCTCTCTGTCCCAGCAACATCAGTACCAAGCAAGAGAGTTTTTTCAACAGCAGGGGATATTGTAAACGCCCAAACATCCCAGCTTCTACCTGGAAATGTGGACATGCTCATATTCCTAAAAGATAACCTTGATGATGCTGAGTGAGTGAGTTAGTGAGTTAGAGTTGGGTTACTTGAAAAACTAAAGTGAAACTAGATTTATTCTATTGCAGGGTCTGATTTTTATATTGTTGAAACTTTAAAATACTACTATCCTACTAAAATGCTGAAGAAATCAGATTTATTTTTTAATAAAGAAAAAAGATTCACATTTTTTTTCTTTATTTTTCAGTATCGCGATAAATATCGTACCGTGGACTTTTTATCGCGATATTATCGTACCGTGAGTTCTTGGTATCATTATATCCCTACTAAACAGTGAAAAAGGTGCTCAGACAAACAGTCCTCTTTGTGTCAGCCTGTGACCCTGATTCTCCGTCCTGCTGTGTTGCTGTTGTCTCCAGGTGGAGGAAACCATCCTCTGCTGGTTCCCTACGACACACTGACTGCCAAAGAGAAATCCAAAGATAGAGAAAAAGCACAAGACATCCTCAAGTTCCTGCAGATCAATGGATACACTGCTTCCAGGTAGGAGACAGGCTCTGCTGTTCACACGCTGGCTTAGGAACTCTGAAGAGCTTTTGTGTTTTCATTAAGCCTGATTGGCTTAGATACTAATGTAAGCACCCTAACATTGTGTATCTCTATCTCTTCCCAGAGGGGTGAAGTCACAGGAGCTTGACACTCCAGCGATAGAGAAGCGGTTCGCCTACACCTTCCTCCAGCAGCTCATCACATACGTAGACCAGGCACACCAACACATGATGGAGTTCGGTGAGACTTTTCTGTCTCTGTGAAAAATTATGACAGAATACTGAATAAATGACAGAATACTGAATAAATGTAATGCAATGTTCAAGTCATGTACAGAATAAAACTTGTGCTTGTAGCTCAACAACTTAAGAAAATGTGTAGATGAATGTCACCATCCTAATGTATAATGTAATATAAACCCTATTGCCTCTGATTGTGTTCTACTCATCATTTAGATGTGGGAACAAGACCAAAGGGAGAGAAGATTCCTCATGAACAACAGATAAAGTTCTTTGGAAAGGTCAGAAGTCATCATTTTTATTTATCCCCTGGTGGTTTGGGTACTTTTTGAGGAAAAATGCCTTATAACAACATGCTTTTAAATGTTCCAAATAAATAATATTTTCCATCTGTAGTCATCACGCCAGCAGTAACAGATCATCTTAACATACATCAGTCATTAGTTCTTATTAACTGATAAATAACATTACAAAAAACAGCGTGGCAGTATAAGACATTCAATCAAGTGAGGTATTATGTCCTGAATATCCTGTAGGTGTTCCTAATACAGCGTATATCTTTAATTGTTTTGTCTTAGATTACATTTTTATTAAAATGTGAACACAGTTGGTTCCCTCTCAATGGCTGTAAGCTTGTGTGAAATACAGCAGGGTTTCCCACACATAGACTTTACTTGGGCGGGCCGCCCAGGTATATTAA